CATACACAGACACCGTTAGGACTTGATGCCAGTGTGTATTTCTCAGGAATGGTGGAAACAATATACTGTACCTCCCTGTATTGAAGCAACTGTCACGGTCAGGGTGGGGTCATTGTGTTGCAAAATCTTAGCAAGGTCATGGTCACGATGAGGTTGGTTGCCATAAAATTGCTGTGACATCTTTTTTTTAAAAAATCTGGAGGGTCAGGAAAATGATTATGTGGTTGAAGAGTCCCCAAACTCAATTTCTCAGCATCTATGTGTTGGAAAATGATGGTTTACACTGCCAGAAATGGCCAAAGAGTATATTCACTGTTACCTTTTTCTGCAACAGTCACTGTCACAATAGGGTCGTTCACATTACCCTTTTTTGCTCCCTTTTTGCTTTCCTTTTTGCTCCCTTCTTGCTTGCCTCTCCTTCAACCGGCTGGTCCCTTTCCTGTAGCAGTTCTGCTCGTGGAGCGACAGATGACATGAAAGATATGTGTTTCTGTCAAGAGAGACCAGGGTTATGTAATCACATCACCACTGAACCTCCGAGTCGGAAAGTTGCAGGAAATAGATACATGGCCTTCAATGTGCTCCATAGCTGGATACTTGCTCTGGAATGAAAAAAGGAGAGAAAAAGGAGCAAAAAAGGGACAAAAAATGAAAACCGGACATTTTCACAGTACCCTTTTTTCGCCTTTTTTGTTTCTTTTTTTTCTGATATCATCCAATATTGCACGTTGGACCTAGATTTTTTGGATTTACACCTTTTTTGCATGTTAAAACTGAAAAGGGGAACAAAAAAGGGGAAACAAAAAGGGAGCAAAAAGGGAACAAAAAAGGAAGGAAAAAAGGCTACTGTGACAACCCTAATGCTTCCTGTTGCCTCAGAAAAAAGCAACAGAAATGTCACGGTTGGACTTGTACAGAGAGGTACAGTACTAGAGCATATTTACTTCAAGGTTGACAGAGAGGGGGGAAGATTTCTATGAGAGAACGAGGCTGCAGGCCAGGAAATAGGGATGGGGATTGTTGGGAATATATATATAATTAAATTAGAAAAACTAACAGATGGAATCATTGATTGTCATGATCTTCAGGTTCCATAGAGGGTTTGCAGGTCAGAAGATAGGGTTTGGAATTGTTGAGAATGGCTATTTAATTATTTTCAAGAATTAAGCTGATGGGATCACTGATTGTTGTGATTTTGCGATTTTACAATTCACATTTGAGACCTGGGTGTTACTGGTAGCAGGGTTTTCTCTTGTCCCCCCCATTCAGATATGTAAAAAGGGTGTAAATATGCAAAAATAGATGAAATTGAATAAAACACAACCAAAAAGGGCTGATAAAGGTCTACTGTGAATGTTCCGGTTTTCAGGCTCCCTTTTTGGTTCCTTTTTCACTTCCTTCTTGTCATTTTATGCAGAAATGGTGGCTGCAGCATGCAGTAGACTACACAAAATATTGGGATTATGTTCAGAGAAATACCTAACATTCCAGTTCACTTGCTTTTGGCAGGCTAACCTTTTCCTTTAAAAAGAGAGAGGAAAAAGGAACAAAAAAGGATTGGAAAAAGGGAACCATGAATGACTCTATTGATGACCCAATCCTGAAGATGTTTGTGGCAGTAGCTGGATTCTGTTTGTTATTTCAGTTCTGCTTATGAGTGGGCTCACACCCTCTCCTTTGCAGATATTGCACTGCATTTGGTCCTTTCGAATCCTACTGATCTAAATTACCTACTCAGCTCACTGTGTGGATCGTATTACTTCTCAGCAAAGGTTACAAGTCATTAGGTGGTGGTATTTAATCCCAGGTGGATTCAAGTCAGATGTGTGCCAAGCCAATGTAGAAGGGCTGTCACTGACAAGGGGCAATTTGATATCCTAGCATACCATATTTCAACCACAGAAGGCAAAAAATCACACTGAAATGTTGACAAAACTGTGTTTTATATGTGGAACTCTTTGAGTGAGTGAGTGCCTTAGCAGCTGTGATCTGGTCTTTGCTATGTTATAATCGTGATTTTTTACAATTTGTGTGTTTGAGACCTGGTACTGAAGCTACTATCAGGAATTAGTGGTCCAATCTCCCCAACTTGTCCAGAAACAATGAATCTAGGTCAGATGATCAAGCACAACACAAACCCAGCTTGGAATTTTGTTCTTCTATCTGCATTGGCCAACTTTGGAGTGTCTAAGGCACTTTGGTTTGACTTTGGCAATGAAAGATGATCAATGGGGACATTCTCTGCTTCCCAGCCAGAAGTGTTGTGATACAATCATGGAATGCCTCTCTGTGGAGGACTCTTATTTCTTGAATCATGGGTCACATGCCATGTATCTTCCTCAAGTATGTCATATGAACAAGACCATCATGTCCTCGTGGATCAGTGGTAGATCATCCTTGGTCATTCATATATTTGACCCATGCTAAAAGGAAGGTGTGGGTTCGAATCCCACTGGGGGCATTGATTGTGATCATCTTTTCTTTTTGGTCACAATTTTAACAAAGATTGGGATTCCACTTACTGACAATTTTGAATCAGTGGTAGAGGATTAACAAGTTGTGTTGGCTAATGGCTCCGAAGCTAGGTTCAAAGACATAGAACAGTAGCAGATTGCATTTTTTTGTACCAGTCAACTGACAGGACCCAACATTGTTGCACCCGCCCCACAGACCGAGAAGCATCCCCAAGGTTGCAGCCTCCTTAATTTTTCTTCAGTTTTTTTTTTGGGCGATTTTGTATGATGGGTCTCGGAGAGTGCAGAAATACATATCACAGGAATGGATGTTGAGAATTCAACTTGATGTTCATGGTTTCAAAGTTGGGCCAGCTTTTAGTGCAATCAAATCATCACGGCGCACCGAAATGCGGGACATCGGAATATTTGAGCGCTCTACTCTTGTCCGTTGTTAGTGATGACGCCCGAAGTCGGTGGGCGAATCGGAGGAAACCGGCTTGACGGCAGAAAATGCGGGCAAAGGCGTGGAGAATAAACAATGATGCCATCACGATCATGGTTCACCACGACCAAGACGCAATTCAAGCTCGAGTGAACCGCTACGTGACGATAGTCCCTTGAGCGCCGGCATTCTGTGCCGGATTCGACAATGAACCTACGTCTCAAAAGCATCTGCTATCCGACACCCATCGGTTTTGTTATATATCGACTTTGCGCTGCGATGTGAATCCTCCTGGGCTGCCAGCGGGAGTTGGCACCGCACCTGTCGTTCGGAGGACGGTACAAAACCAAGAGTTCTGTCTGCTACGTCCCTCCCGGAGACCAGGGTAAATAATAGAAGAGCAAGGTCGTGGTGGTGGAAAAGGCAATTTGAGTTGCTGAGCAGCTCGTGAACGGCCTTCAGTGCGTCGGCAGACGTATCTTTGATTCTACTATACTTACCCTACCTTTCTCTCGTCCGAAGTCGCGCCAATCTGACCGGCTTCCTTAAATTTGGATATACCGACGTTCAAGCAGCAGCACGAGCTTGCAAGACGGAGGCTCCAGTCGCGTTGAGCTGCCGAATCCCGATGTAGCCCGGATTGGTAGTACAATGGGGACCCGAGCGCGATGCGCATTCTTGTACGTGCCGACGAGGTGCGTTTCATCCCCATTTTATTCTTCACTATCCTGACATTTACAATAAGTGCTCAACGCAGACTCGACGTAGTTCCGCATGTACATCTCGGTATCTACCACCCATGACAAGAGATTTTCACCTGCACCCTCCGCGAGGAATGCTGCTCCACTTTCCACGAGAACGTCATGCATCCATCCACAACATCCGCGCGCCCGGTCCATCGAATCACGGGCATATCCCTTTATCAATCTTCAACGAGTATCGAGTTGCAGGAGCCGAGAGTGCCGGCCTGCTTCCGCACTCATCATTTTCATCTACGAGGTGTGTCTACTATCTTTTCATTGCATTTACTTTATTCATGCGAGTCCTCTCGACCCATAGCCCCTTCGCGGAGCTGTGATCCTCTCCCACACTCGCGCCGCACCCGCACTCGCGCCCTTGGAGTCCGCTTTCGCCCCGTACGCCTGGCCATCGTTCCCCTCCAAGTTCTGCAATACGCCTCGGTCTTGCGGGACTGGATCGCGCGCGCAAGGAGGCTCTCGTACACTGGCGGGCGCGCATATACCCAGTCAATTGAAGACGCATCTTTCCGGCGGCGGGTCGTCCCTTCACGTCTCAGCGGTACCGAGTTGGAGGCACGCACGAGGGATTGGGATTGGGACAGGCCGTCTCGAGGAATTGGGATGGAAAGCGGCGAGCGGTACATCTTGATCAAGATCGACGACTTCAACGCGCGCGCGGATGTCGCGCATCGGGTGCGGTCGCGCATGGGCTGGGTGGAGACGCGAGTATGCGGGTATGCGGGGAGGAAGAAGTCAGTGAGGGTCTTTCTCTTTGGTTGCATGCACGCTACGCTTCTTCGTGCATTACATACGCCACTCCCTCTTCCCATCCCTCGTACTCCCTCTCTTTCCTCTGAATCGCCCCTCTCCCGTTGTTTCGCCCACTACCACATACTCCTCGTTTCTTCTAAGGCGTCTCTCGACACCGCTGCCGTTCTTTCCGCCTTCCCGCACATCAGTCCTCACCTCTTCCTTCTGAGGGGTTCCTCGTTCCATTCCATCCATCCACGTTTCCACGCTATACCTGTCTTCCGTCTTTTACACCCACATATCCTCTCCACGCACACGTCCACCTCGCACCGCTCGCTTCCTCTTTTGATATATCTGCCTTTCTGTCGCCGTCCCGTTCACTGCTCCCCCCGCATTGCCCTTCCCCACCTCCCTCCCTCCGTCCCTCCCTCTCACATCTCCCTGCGCTCGTTCCATTCCACCACCACCAAAGCTTCGAATGGACACTAACTTGTTTTCAGATACACCGTCCAATCCGCCCCACCTCATCGCGCGGCTCAATCCATCCATCCCGTCCTCGGCCCTCACCCGCCCGCCGCGGTTCCTCCGAGGTGGAACGTCGAGCGCGTCGCCGGCATCAAGTCCACGTTACTTCTTCGCTCTTCGGCGCATCGTCGATCGGCAGCTCAATCCATCCCGCCCTCAGCCCTCAGCCCTCGGCCCGCGCGAGGTGGAATGTCATGCTCGCCGGCACCAAACCTCCGCGTTACTTCGCTCTTCGGGCGCGTCGTCGTGCTGTTGCTCCCGCTCCGCCACAGCGCCACGCTTGCCGATGATTCGGCGTTCTTCGATATGGTATCGTGTGAGGCGCACGGGGGGATCGGGCGATGGAGATCGACATGGGATGGTAGGGAGATCGAGATGGCCACTACGTTCAGCTCGCGCGCCCCCACCTGCAGCGCGCTCGTCGAGCATGGTTCGAGGGGTGTCGGGGTCGGGTCGGGGTCGGGGTTGGTGGTCGTTCGGGCTTGAGGCGCATCGGGATCGCCCGTCCGCCGCCGTCTTTTTTGTCGTCTCGACCCTCTGCAGCGGTGTTTGCCTGGAGCTTGAGCCCCAATCGAGTCGGCTGTATGGGTCTGGGAGCAACGCGCACCTGGCTGGTGGATTTGGGAGAGAAAGGCGGAGATAGAGGGTGAATGCGGGTTCGTGTTGCTTGGCCTTTTTTTGCTGTAGCGAGATGTCTTTCTTTGGGGAGAGTGCCAGCGCCGCTTTTTGACGTGCTTCCCATGCACCTCTGCTGCGCTGCTTCCCCCGCTCTCCTGCTCTTTGTATCCCTTTGCTATGTGACTGACGACGACACGCAGGCATCGAAATCCTGCCCACACGTGGTCGATTGCCCAAGATCGAGATCCCGCCGCTCGTCTGTCAATGGAGTTCGCGCCGCGCGCGCGCTGCGGTCGAGTCTAAGAAGTGTGCGGTCCAGTTGGGAGCAACGTCGAATTTAGAGAAACGGTGAGTATATACGCGTTTCATCTTATATTCTTCTTTCTCTACCCTCTCCACTCTTCGCTCTCCTCTCCCGTCGACGCGCGCGTCTTCCCCTTCGCCGCCGAATCCGATTCGCCCCTTTGCAGTCATTCACTTCCTTCCGCGCCTTCGTTTTGTTTCGATCCCCACTATCGTCCTTTCTTCGCTCCTTTCCTCCATCCACCATCCGTCATCTCATCTGGTCGCCATTTCGCCCCCGCACACTCACATGCACGACCCTATGCCCCTCCCCTTCGCTACTGCTCCTCTCTCCGTGCTACTGTCCCCCCATGCTCCACTCCCTTCATTCGAATGTCTTAGTTTCCTTTTTGGGCGGTCCTTTATTTCTTACCCTCTTCCTCACGGCCGCACCCTCGACCATCGTATCCTGCTCCTCCCGAATATATCTACCTCGCATTGTCCTTCCCCTTTCCATTTATTTAACTCCACTTTGCTTCAATTGCTGCTTTACGCCGCTATTCTCTCGTTCGCGACGTCGTACTAACGTCATTCCCAGAGCCCCTCTTCTCCTCTATGCTTCCGACGCCGACCTCGTCCGACTCCGCCGAAGACCTACCGCGCACGGCCCGCGCGTGTGAGGCGCGCTCTCTCTCGCGCCCATTCCCATCGTGTCCAATCTCCTCCGTGCCGAGACCCCCAGGCAGTGCTGCGGGACGAGGATGACGAGGGAGTAGGGATAGTCGGAGATTTGAGGGGGACGGGATAGGAGCAGAACGGAGAAAGGAGGACGCGGCGCCTGCTGGAGTAGACGACGTCGTGGGGCTGACCTCACCCGACGCGTGTCCCTGCCACTCGAAGCTCGATGCCTGCACGGCGTCGTCTCGCAGGCTCCGGCGTAACGCCTCGCGCCGCTTCCGAGTCGGCGAATCGCGCGCAGTCGACATCGCTCGCGGCCCTCCTCGCTCTCCTTGCCTTCTCATCACGACGAACCGCGCATACGAATGATGCGTCCTCACTCCGACCGGCCACCTCCTCCGATTCCTTCCCCGTCCCGAGGAACGAGCACCTGCAGGATTAATACTGATACTCGGCTGGATGATTTGGAGGAGGGTCGCGTGGAGATCGTGGGAGACGTGGGGAGGAGTGTGATTCTATGGACGCCTTTGCGGGGCCATAGGGTGTAGGGCAAGGGTAGAGCCTAGATGCTGTCGGGGGACGAGGGCAATGGCTTGCATCTCTAGGATGCCGGCGGCGCCGCGGGGTGCACGACTCAAACAACAGCACGAGCGGGATATCTCTCTCCTTTAGCCAGCGCTTTCACGCTCGACCCTATCGGGCCTGTCGGCCTGGCGCGATGAGCGTCGTGGGCGTGGTATGCAATTACCGCCGCAGACACCCGGAATGCTGAAGAAGCTCAGCGTGGGCAGTACAACCGTCGGCAGCGACCGCGACGCGGCATCCAGGTGTCAGTATAATGGATGTTGGTGAGTGATTTTCTTTGCCTTTTCGTTTGTTCTTTCGGGTGCCCTGCGTCTCTCACGCCATGTCTACTCGTCTTCATTTTATATTTAGTCGCGCTACTGCAAGCTGCGCTCTTCATATCGAA